GCTGCTAATCTTCCTTTCAGAAAATGGAAATATTGCTAGTACAGGGTATGCTGATAAATGCTGACAAAAGTGACAAAAATATAGAATGTAACCGGAGGGAAATGGGTTAAGTGTTAAGGGTTAGGTTGAGCTGATTTCCAAGTTATGGTAGGGATTGTGGTCATGCTTACAGTAGGATTTAGGCATTATAGTACACTTAGTGTACGGTTAAGGGTGAGGGTAACATGATGTAAACTATATATGTTAATGCTACACTCAAATCCAATCAAATTTTAAGGGTGCCGGCAATTGGCTTACTTTGGTGCAGTGGGTGAGTTCAGTTTGCCACCACCATGCACCGATGCTCACAGCTGAACACAGCGTCCCTTATTCAACTCTCATTCCGTCTCCATTTTCACCCATGTTCTCTTGATACAGCCACATTTTCCAACCGGGCAGCCATAAAATGTAGCTATTGCTTTGTGGAACAAGCGTATGTCTCGGGCTTTGCTATTTGAGAGTGGGTGCATTTGATACTGAGTGTCCTTGCAGTATTGAGGTCAAATATGGAGGGATTTTCTCTCTTGGTGAACTCATGCGTGACCTAAATAGATGAGAGGGTGGTTGCATGTGATCTTAGCTGCAAATGCATCGCACTACCACGGATTAGTAGCATGTTTGCTGCATGGGCAAAATGTCAATCTGGTCCGAGCAAAGCAGAGCACCAACTGTTCACTCAAGGCTGATGGTGTCAGCTATGGATGTCATCACATCAAGAGCCTCTCGCACTGCCTGAAAAAGCCTGTAAGAGCCAACGTTTTTCCCACCTTATACCAATAGTGAATGCGAGGGACGAAGTCAACATGACTTCATTTGTTCACTTCTACCTTCGCCCATCATAAATGGACAAACAAGTATTCTTCTCACTGAAACTTTGAATCTTGGATGGGGTTGCGGGTAGGGTAGGGTAGGGTACCCCCAAAAACCCCTGAGTTAGGTAAGGGGGAACAGGCACAGGTCATCATTTTTAATTTTTTTTTTTTTTTTTTTGGTCTAGGTCCTGTGTCAAACATACGGCCAGCGGGCCGGAACCGGCCCCCGAGGGGGTTCGATCAGGCCCGCGGGATAATTTAAAAATCAATACATGCATAAAAGACACGGAATGAATATTTTTAATAAGATGAAATTCATGTATTATCCGCAAGGGGACACACTGTTTTCTCTTTAGTTTGTGAAAGTGTAAAGTAAGTAAAGTGTAGGCAGGGATTACATTTAGATTTCATATGCACATGTGTAAATGGTTTAAAAAAATCCTTTCTTTATAAATCTCGTTTAATCTTAAAATGCATGACTATATTTTTCAATACTAATTACTTGTTCAAGTTTTGTGCCTTTGTACAATCAGTGGGATCAGTTGCAATGCATATACGTGAATGATCAAAGTAAATGCCACCTTTGTCTAAGGAAACCTAAGGTGTTTCATGAAACATTAGGTAAAAGATATGTTCATTAATTTTCAACATTTTCCTCATGTTCTTGTGCCTCGCTATCCCGAAACAAAGGAAAGACATGATATTTTGGTTATTTATAGCAGAGTATGGTATAATGTTAATGGTCCGGCCCACTTGACATCTACCGAGGCCGTATGCGGCCCACAATGTGAAATGAGTTTGACACCCCTAGATTAAAGTGATACTTGAGTAATAGTACAGAAAATAATGTTGGTTCATTAAAGTTAAAGTTACTTTTGCCTTTGAAACACTATAGCCAAACTTTCTCATTTATTCTGACCTGATTCTCTGGCAATATGCCTCTGGACAATCATGCCGTGCTTTTGTGGTTCAAAAAAAGTATTAAAGAACAGTATACTGTATATGTGGAGCCTCAAAACCAGATACAGCGCTACAGTTCTTCCATTGCAGCACAATCGCTTAATTTGCGCGTGTCAGTTGCTAACTGTCATTTTTTTTGCAATGGTCCACTGCGTCGCTTGGGTACGGCTGGACTTGCAGTTAAGAGTTAAATATTTTAGGTTAGAGTTCATGTTTTAGGGTTTGAGTTTGTATTATGATACCAGGTTAAGGATCAGAGTAAAGGATAGGGATAATAATGGGTGTGGAGTTACTCTATTAAGACACATTAGCCTCTGTTTCAGTTGTGCAACCAAAACCCTACCACTCTACATACCGCTCAGAACCCGAATCCCACTGGGAAACCTTGAGCTATTAGTCATATCTTTCCTCGCTAGGCGTTGTCTTACGCTTTCCGACCGACCTGCTGCGTTTATAGGCTAGGTACCAACAGTAACGAGAGACAAACGAACATTACCATTGTGTGATGTTTACATGTATGTACCGCTTCCATCTTTTCATTCAATATTTCTTGCCTTTACCTTTAAGGCTCATTCAGTCACATTCACAAAAGTTCTGAGTAAAGAGCATATGGGTCGAGACCTAGACAAAAAAATGATAATAATGGACGGGTAGCTTCTTAACTTGGATTTGCAGTACTTCCAAAGTTGAATGATTAGATGGTCTGGAGCATCTTTGTCTGTTGTACTGCAATTAACACTGTTCACTTAATGGCGATACATACAATGGGTCCTTGGTTTATTCAGAATACTGTTGCCGTGTAAATGCTTATGTTTAATTCATAATTATAGATGACAGTTTCATCTATTGCAGGTGGGTTTGGACTGTATCCGTGTGATAAACGGCTTCATGATACTTTCTTGACACCAATAACTACTTTTCTACTAGCCAGGGTTTTAGAGGCATCTTAGATCATTACAGAAAGCGTTCAAAGAATATGACCACGTTTTTTTCAGAGAATAGCTGAGGATAGGTTCCACAGAACTAAACACAAATACTTCACTGTACTTTTATATTATTCCTGTATGGCCGTAATTGTGACTACGTATTCTTACGGTGCTGTGCAAACTAGTCCATTGCTCGCTGTTCGTAACCTCGAAACGTCGAAACCCGAGGCCCCCCTGTACAGTCATGAGCTCCATCATATGTTGCAAGCTTTCGTCAATCCGAGCGTGACGACCACCATCATATATCCGCACGATAATGGGAGGAAAGTCACAGGCTGGTTCATGAGGGTGCACGATGCCAGATCCAGTTAGTCGTGGACGCGTGGACGGGGGGAACGGGGTGGTGGGGTGGTGATACGGGTGGAGGCCTCTCGCTCCATGTTCCGGCCTCAGCTTCCAACAGCTCGGGCCCCTGGCTGTGTTGCCGTGACAACCGGATGAGGTAAATGGTTGCAGGAGAATCCTCATTACGAGCTGCACCACGTCCTGCAGTGACACCTCCCGATCATGACGTTGGTCTCTTTTTTTTTTTTTGTTTGCCAAAATGTGTATTGTATGTCGTTGAAAGGCACTAAAACAAGAAGTCAGGAGTGAATTCCTTTATGTTGCAGCACAACTGGTTTCTGCAAAACGGTGATTGCAAAAATTCAGCTGAACATTATGCAAGCAGGTGGCATTAAACGTGTTTTTTTTTTTTTTCTTCTTAAGCCTCTAATTTTCCCAGACGCCCTTTCCCAAAATAGAGCGCCGCTTTGCATAGTCGCAGCGATCACAGTTCTGGGTGAAATAACACACCGTGCTGTGTTTACAGATGAGGCTGAGACTGTGAACTAGCGAGGTTGTGTTGGGGGGGTGGGGGGGGTGGGTTCACTGTTGCTGGATAGTCATTATTCACATTGTATATGTCACATTTGCACTTACATGTAAGCAGGGCATCTTAATATGATATTTATGGCTTGCATTGCAAAATCCCTCTGGAATTGCTGTTTGTTAGTCAATTTGATTTACAGCATACAACACTTTACAAAGAGAGGTCTCACAATGTGTTTTGCTTTGTTTAAAAAAAAAAAAAATACTGAATCACAAAAATAATAGTGGAACTGATCAACTTAGCAATTGGCCCATGGAAGGCTTAAAAAAAAGACACTAGTTTGACTGATTGTCACAAAAATTGGGTCGACATGATTCTCCATTACAGGATTCACGGCAAAGTCTCAAGGCTCCAAAGTGAAAAGTCAATCATGCAGTTTGGTGAAAAGAAATCATTTTAAGCGAATTCCAGGGCTCACACTTGAACTAGACACAACTAAGGAATTTTCCCAAACTAGCACAACCAGAATCAAGTATCCTAGACAGGCAGGCAATGCTAAAGTGCCAAGCTTTTTTGCCTTTGCCATCTCATGGACGAAAAGCACGGGGTCAAAGTTTGATGATCATTTTGAGGATTCACATCCATAAAGGGCTCATGAAAAGAAGAAAAGTGCATATACAAGAGACGAGAAGACAGAAAAAAAAGATTTTATTTTTGTTTTATAACCAAACAACAGAATACAGCTACACACATGACGTGTTTGACATTTCGAAATGCATTCATGTGCAACAACGGCGTCACGGTCGTTGCTGTTTCTAATCTCAATTTGACTCTGACTAGTCATGGCTTGCATTGCAAAATCCCTCTGGAATTGCTGTTTGTTAGTCAATTTGATTTACAGCATACAACACTTTACAAAGAGAGGTCTCACAATGTGTTTTGCTTTGTTTAAAAAAAAAAAAATACTGAATCACAAAAATAATAGTGGAACTGATCAACTTAGCAATTGGCCCATGGAAGGCTTAAAAAAAAGACACTAGTTTGACTGATTGTCACAAAAATTGGGTCGACATGATTCTCCATTACAGGATTCACGGCAAAGTCTCAAGGCTCCAAAGTGAAAAGTCAATCATGCAGTTTGGTGAAAAGAAATCATTTTAAGCGAATTCCAGGGCTCACACTTGAACTAGACACAACTAAGGAATTTTCCCAAACTAGCACAACCAGAATCAAGTATCCTAGACAGGCAGGCAATGCTAAAGTGCCAAGCTTTTTTGCCTTTGCCATCTCATGGACGAAAAGCACGGGGTCAAAGTTTGATGATCATTTTGAGGATTCACATCCATAAAGGGCTCATGAAAAGAAGAAAAGTGCATATACAAGAGACGAGAAGACAGAAAAAAAAGATTTTATTTTTGTTTTATAACCAAACAACAGAATACAGCTACACACATGACGTGTTTGACATTTCGAAATGCATTCATGTGCAACAACGGCGTCACGGTCGTTGCTGTTTCTAATCTCAATTTGACTCTGACTAGTCATCTCTCTAGATGGGGCGTCTTCAATATGCATCTGACAAAACCGTGGACAAGAGGGGCCACTGGGGTCTGCAATGTCAACACTGACCCAGGGGGGCCTGCGGTCTGGCAATAAATAAACACTCCATTCTGAAAGGTTTAATATAAAAATAGACATGAATCTAAGAATAGTTAATGCAGCAGTGCATGCTCTAATGTCCCGGTGTTTGCGAGAAAAAAGAAGTCACGTCATGCGAACCTATGCGTTGAGAGCCAAGAGCTAAGCTAACGTAAGAGTTTGTCAATGCAGCAACTACACAGTAGTTGGAACCCATAATGATATGTATAAAAACAAAGTCCCTGTGTGATTCTTTCCACTACATTGAGGGAAATGTTTGTTGAATGAGAAAATCACACTCAACGTCTCAGGATTTTGATTCCGGAACATGTGAAATAGCTGATTTCATGGCGTTGTATGCTAATCAGCTTTGTGATCTACAAATGTCCCCCACTTTTCTAAGGAGTAAGCAGTGATTGGTTATTGTAATGTCTAAGGGAATGGAAGGTAGTGGAAACAGGTCCATTTTAGCAGTGAGCCTTGTTAGCTAGCCAAACAAAATACATAAAGTCATAAACTTTAAAACTGCAGGAGATAAGCTATAACGAAAAATGCTAGTGCACATCCTTCATAGTTTTGATGGCAGCATTTCCTCATATTAATTGCGACTTGCTGTCTACAGTGAAAAACTTTCTTTTTGGCGCCATATTGGGGAATCTTTGTGTCAAGATACGATGTTGAGTGAGTCGAGGAGCTTCATGTAGAGGTTTGCTGCCATTTTATAGTAATTATAGGCAATTATAAACATTTTAATGTGGAGGCCTTAACAACTCGTTGATTTTCGCTATGTGCAGCAGGGTTCGGGCCCGATCCTCTGTATTTGACAGACATTAGCATTCAATTGTCTCCTTGCAGTGTTTGTGGAAGAAATCAGGATGACATTACAAAGTGCGGTGTATGAGTTGGCATACTGATACTGGGGGAAATGAGGTGTTTTGTGGGGAGCTTATAGGGGGTCCTTAGTCTCGGACAAATCCCAGTTGCTGTGGCCATGTCGTAAACTGAATTTGTGCATAAGTTAGAAAAGTTCATAATTAAAGTAAATGTATGATAAACACTGAGGCCGAAAATATCAAACAATCGAGTGCTAAAACAGGAAGTACTACAGTAACTGTTTGTGTCTTCTTGACCTGAGGACCCCCACACCCCAACCCCCCATAAACATCAAAACAGCTAATTTGATTTTCGAACAGTAGTTTAAATGATTGCTTTCAAGTGATTTTCTTTTACAGAACAGTAAACACACAACAGCTCTTAAGCGGGGTACACACATTGATTTGTAACCACAAAAATTTTTTAAACATGACCCAACACATAACAAAAAAAAAGAAATACATTAAATAATCAGCACCCGTTCTTCGTATAGTCTGTGGTGTACACTCGTTATCCTGCGGGAGACGTGGTTTGGATGGGAGAATTACATTTTCTGTAACCCTCCCAAAATTATTTTTTAAAAATGCTAATAAATGTTCATTGTATGTTTTCTATGAAAAACGTGGAAGGAAATGGGGGAAAAAATACAGGCAAAATGAAAGAAAAAAAAATAGCCAAAAAATTGCCCCCCCAAAATATTTGATAAAAAAACCCAAATTTGCAAGTACATGAATCCGGGGTTGCCCAGCCGCAACCTTCTCAGGTTGAATGTGGTCAAAATTACGATATACCACACACAACAATCGCAGGCCACCTGCCCATGAACCAGCTGTCTGTCATAGTACTACACAATACATCGTAGTACTGTAACCTATAAGAGGCAGCGTGGGGCGATAGGGCATATATGAGTTGAGTAAAATACAAGTTGCGTCCTATTTCTTCCGCTATTGTTGCTTGACATTTATGATTGTCATAACTCATATATGCCCTGCAGCCCCACACTGCCTCTCACAGGTTACTACTATGTATTATGTTGTACTATGACTGTTTTCCATGCTGCTCAGTCATAAAAAACAAACAAAAAAAAAAAAAAACTATTCCACCGTAGGATAATTTTTTGGAGACTTCTGATAATTGGGCCTTTGCTAACTTTAATCCTAAGGGAGGGAAAACGTTCACATTTGGCATGTTCGTCAGTATATGTGTGTACCCTACTGACCCTGTGGTTTTGCCTGTAATGTTGCTTTGTGCTGAGAATGCTTCACCCTCAAGGTGACCACAACTCATTAAAACCAACGAACACCGGCATTCCAGGATCCTTTATTTTTTTTAAATTTTTTTGTGATTGTATGTGTCTTTCCATTCCTTGTGTCGCAATTATTTCCACCTCACTGCAGAATTCTTGAACGCAAACACCAGTAGTCTTGGTTTTGAACATTCCCAAACCAATTAATGCATTCAGGTCACTTTTAATCAGAATGAAAAATGTGGCTGTCATATTTTTGTTAATCACACTTCTCTTCTCCTGTAAACTCTTTAGCTTCATACCTTGGAAGAACGCTTCTAATAATTTTTTTTTTAAAAAAGCACAATAGATCGGCGGTCCCCGTGATAATGATGATGATCTATTAAGTGACTGGTTATAATGGGGACTTTTAAATGAATAGATTTCAGGATGATGTCTAAGGGCCTCAAGTGCCCTGGTAGTAATGTGACAATGATAGCTCAATGAGTTTGAAACACTCACATTGAAAAACAGATAAAAATCCTAAAGGCTCTCTTTACTTCAACCTGATCTTTGGCAGATGAGGACGAAACCAGTTGGAATGGTGTAATTAGGGCTGTCACATAATTAGAGTCACCATTTAAAGTGCATTCATTGACACGATAGTTGTACATGTACTCTTCTTTTATAATACCACATTGTTGTTTTTTTTATGCTCTAATTGTGAGGATTATACTCAGAGCTATTTCATCTTTCTACATCAAGCTAATGAAAGATTATATTCTCTGGCTTCATATGATGATGCTTGTTTTAATTGTGGCACATACATGTGTGTGTGTGTGTGTGTGTGACTATGTAGTATATACCGTGGAATCTGCCTGTCCGCTGTACATGTCCTATTTTCTCGCCTGGTAGAAAAACACAGCTTGAATGACAGGATGTGAGACCAGAGGGGGAAGCGGGGAATTAATATTGAGGTCATTGGTCTGTATGACATCTTTCGGATATTTCGTAGGGTATGATCAGCTTACATTGTCACAGTAACCTTCTGAAAACTTGATCGCGATTGTGTTCACACTTGTTTGAGTCGGTAAAACCGGCTGCATTTCGTTGTCGTCAAGTGTTACAACGCTAACATCCGAACCAAAAAAGCAAACCCAGACCTTTTGAACATGTGGTCTTGGTCCGCTTGTAAGCCAACTAGGGTGAGGTTGAGTTCATTTCACAGGGACCACAGACATGGAGCAGTACGTGTTAAAGGAGAATCCTTGTACATTTGTTCACAATCTAAAACTGTCGAGACTGTCTTCAAGACCCTGTAAAATGTATTCAGAAATTTTGTTTCTGAAAACATTACGCATGTTTTATAATAAAGTGCGAGACACAAGCATGGAGTACAGTGGACCGCCACTATTCGCGAGGATAGGGCCTGGACCGGCCCTCGAGTAGTGAAAATATGTGTTTAATTGATGGCCTAAAAAAATCTTGAAAATTGCTGATAAGTGCAACTGCGAGTTACAGTGTTATCATTACTAGGCCCAAACCTGTTAGCTCATATGCTAGCTGGTGGCTAGCACCCTGTGATGACTTGATGGGATATTCCAGCCGCCAGAGGCTTTCAGTGGATATATTTTGGCGGAAAGACATTAGATGAAGTAGCATCCATTTTTCTGTGTGGTGTGATTTCACACATTTTGCGGACATGCCCACAATATTTGGGAGCAGGAAAAAAGGCTTGATTTGTCGGGATTTTCAAGCCTAATTTTATATGCTTGCTCATTTTTTTAATCATTAAAATTTGGAACGGTGAACACTCTTTTGTGTAGTATTTCAAATTTAGAAGACTTATTTACTTTCACTTTATAGGGACTTTAGCAACATTTATGTAACATGATGCTGTGAAAACTCTTCACAGATCAAGTGTCACAGGATACTTTTTGCCCCCATTTTCAGGCCTCTGCTGTTTTGAAGGGGCGGCCCAAGTTTATGCAAATGAGAGGCTGCTCACCACACCCCTCGCGACTTCGGGGCACCTACTAAGTATGGCTTTTGTTACCAGGGCGTTCCGGGAGCACAGAGTAAGATCAATAATGACAATAAAAGTGTTAATTCTGTTTTCACTCATGGAGGCAGCACTTCATTACCAATTTGCTGAGTTACCCTTGTAGCGGATGTGTGCATGTGGCACATAAAGTGGACGCACTTGAAGGTATTTGTCCAGGTTCATCTCAATAAAATAGAATATCCCAGAAAAGTTAATTTATTTCAGTAGTTCAATTCCAAAAGTGAAACTCTACTGCACATGGCTTATTAAGTGCATCAGAAATAAATTGCAGAAGGCCAATTTTGAGGTAATGTGTCCCCCCAAAAAGAATTAAAAATAAAAATAATTTTGATTGTTTCTATTGTAATGCTCTAATTTCTTGAGATGGTGAATTTTGGGTGTCCATTGGCTGGAAGCTATATTCAACAAAATAATAAAATCATGAAATTTTTCACTCTGCGTGCAGTAAATGTACTGCGTATGCATAATGCAGGTTTCCCTTTTTCGGTTAAGTTTTATCCCATACTCAATTTTTTTGAGACACACCTGTAAATCAGAAATTAAATCCATCGGGCGATGCATCAACTTGTGAAAACAGAAGAAATTTTTGTTTTGACCAATGGATGAAAATGTCACCATCATGCGTCTTGTTTTGACCAGCTGAGTCCTCATCTCTATGATTGGCACAGATGGCATCATGGCGTTGAGTGATAGTTGTCGTTTTTGCAATGTAAATAGTGGTATGCAGATAAAGGGCGTCATAAATAACACGATTATTTAATCAAGCCGATTGTCAACTGAGAAAAATTTTGCCACAGCTGCAAATCACCCCACGAAACACACTGTTGCTTTGCGATTGGTCCGCCCCATCAGTGATATCGCGGCCTCGGCACAAACACCGCGAGACTTCAGCTTGCTGGCAAGGTGATGAACTCTCAACTGCTTTGGAAAATTTGAGTCTCATGAAAATTATGGACCAATTTTGATGCAACGGATGCAATGATAAAGGTGTATAATTCCAAGGTCACCAAATCCAACAGCATATCTTTTTGATACTTTGGCCTGAACACAAGTACCAAGCTACAGGTGTGAACACAGCCCAAACCTTTGGTTTGGTTTCTATTTTTTGCAAATTGCTACCCAAGCCATGTTTGAAAAATTCCAAAATATTTTGAGTGGAGCTGATATTATCTATCCCTCAGGAGTGACTTTTCATACCATACCTAGATGCCACTTTGCAAAGAAATCAATAACTGTACCAGGCTGAGATCATTCCATTAAAAAAAAAAAAAAAAAAAAGTCCTGGGCCTTCACCAGGAATAAGCAGCACAAATCTGTCGCCGCGTCGCATACTTTTGTCTGTGGAGTCCACGCCAGAAACAGCCAGATGAGACGAGCCTTTTGTGAAAGTACATCCTCATCACTCCTCGCTCTCCTCTTCGTCACCCTTGGAACCTTTACTCCAGCGCTGGAAGCAGTGGACTGTGGAAGCCAGGAAGAAGCTGGTCATGATGGCTACCACAGACACAGAGATGCCCGAGAAAATGATGATGAGTAGATCCGTCAGAGTCAGGCTGGCCTGGCACTCGCGGAAGCTGTCCTTGGAGAGCTGGGTCAGGGACACGCGCCGCCCATCCATGGGGAGGGAGCACTCCATGTCTTCCACTCCTGGACCCAGAGAGAAAAGGAGATTAGACAGATTTGCCAGACATGCTGAAGCGGACTCGCGAGTGGCTGACGCCATGTTGCGACTTGCGGACCACTGCTTTTGCACGCTGTCCGTTCAAAAGATGATGTAACATGCAAGGGCAAGCAGACAGGACTGAGGCTTATTGTTGTGCAATATGCCCTAACATAAATGTCATCCAAGATTTTAATTATTTCCACTGAAAACCCATTTCGTTGTGTTGGAAATTGTAAACCTCATCATTATTTGGAAGTATGGCGGGGTACAGACATCACCGGTGTTGAATGACGTAAGCGACTCCTCACATGATGAGGAAAAAAAAAAAAAATTAGCGTGTGTGTTCTTACTGCTGCTGATATTATTTAGTGCAGAGGCGCGGGTATGTCACATATATACAAGTTGTAAGACTCAACTCCTAACCTTCAAGTTTCAAGAAAGTCTCTAAGTTACTACTTGCAAATGTGACTGATCGGAAGACGACACAATTGATTGCTGCTTTCATCCGGTGGTTGCCGGCTAGTCATTAGCGTCTAAACTGCTAATGTTGATGTGGTCGGGCTGTGCAAACCGCTCGCATTTTCATGCTTTTCCACTTGATCACTTGAGTGTTACTTGTTCAAATAATTCAGTAGATTCCTTGTATTGTCTTGTTTTTGACGACATACCAAGCACAGCAGCCATCGGGTTACCGTTAATGTCCGACTCTGAGAAAGAACAGTTGTAATCTAAAAAGAGGTTGTTCCCTCCGAGGTTATAGTTCCATTTCACATCACAATCACAAAGGCCTCAAAAAATGTGTTTCATGTCACAGTCGTGGAGTCCAAAGCCTGGCCCAACTCAGTTTTGACCACCCACAGAAGACTTTACCATTGTAAATATAGAGCATGTTCACCATTTATGATTGCAGGTCCCAACCATCTTGAAAGCAGATCGGGAGGAAAAAACAGCCTACACGCTCCACACCAAAATATCATCACTGGATAATCTGATCATCGGGCCTTTGCTGATTTTGATTGCAAGTGAGATATAATGCTCAAACCCCACTGAAAATTGCTGGAATGTGTTCACATCCCGACTAAGGCACAGGACGGATGCCAGAAAGAACAACTCAAATATTTATACAGCAGAATCTTTTTATGCGATATTGCAAAGTCTGCAGGGCAATGCAGAGGGAGCTGATTTAATAACTATCAAGTGTTTGCTCGCAGTGTTTTAAGTCTTGCCACTTGAGTACAGCACACCCACCTTAGGCAGCTTCACTGCAGAAACAATTAAGGTAAATCTAGCACGTAAATGCCCACAGTAGAGCTACTGAACTCAACATATATATATTTACATTTCACAATTTCATAGTTGTAGGACCATAACACACATGGACTTTTAGAGATTAAATTTCAAGCTCTTGATTTATCCTGATCTTAAGTTAAATAAACAAGTCAACATGTAGAATGAAAAAATGGGGTTGCCGGACTTGTCTTTCAAATCAAAATGTACAGTATGACGAACTGGAAATATATGTGTTTTATTGGAGAGCAAGGATCGGGTAACTCAATAAAACAAAGCACCTAAAAATGTGACAGCAGGTATCCTAAAGTGATCATAAAAAAGGCGAATGCGTGTCGGAGGCAACCTTGACTTTGTCATTAGTCAGTCGCTAAAGTTGTTTCCGTACTGTTCAAATTTACCTTCCACTAGTTATTGCCCTTCATTTTTCATTTCAAATTACACGCCATTTCGTCCTTAAGAGAAAATTACACCAAGGTGAAATAGCTCAGAAAATGCAGTATAAACCTTTACTGCTTAATAGTAATTGTGCCATATGTGTGTGTGGATATATATATATATATATATATATAGTATCTCTCTCTCTCTCTCTCTCTCTCTTTCTCTGTGTCTCTCTCTTTCCTGTATCACGAGAAAATGATGATTTGATTAGAGTGTGAATGGTTATCTATACTACAGTAAATCTGCCAATCGGTCCAGGGTGAACCCTACTTCTCTTGCCAAAAGTCCGCCGTGATAGGCTCCAACTCACCTGTGAACCTCAAGATAAAAAAGCACTACGGAAATGGATGGATGGGCAGATGTTTTGTGACAAAAAAGGTGATATTTTCTCAGATCGGAATCTGACAGCTGTAAAAGTATGAAATATACTGGTTCCACCGTGACATGTAAACATCTTGCTTGAATGACCTTGTGGGGCTAGTGGTTGTTATAGGTCCCAAGCGCCCGGTGTTTTGTCTGGAGCATTAGCGCAGTATTGACATATGACCCAATGGGAGCCTCCTACGTCTGGTTCAGGATCAGAATCTCATGAGTCAGCGCTCAATTGACAAGAAGCCAATGTTATTGATTCGGGTGAGAAAGAGCACACTGGTTAATGATGGCATTAATTACAAGACCTGTTAAACATGCTGTATGTGTCCGGGAGTGAGCTTCCAGACAAAAATGCTTAAGGCCTGGTCTTACAAGTGCTAATAAGGTTAAGCGGCCTCACAATAATGAACTGAAAATATTGTTGCTTGTCATGACTCTTGAATCTATTATTCTTGCACAACAAACAATATGGCAGGCCACTTTCCAAGAAGCAGGCCCTTGTACACTTTGACTCAGGGGAGCTTTGAGTGGAGATTATCATGAGAAAAACATTTCCCAGGCTTTTTCCTAGCCGCGGCCTCCTGTGAATTGATGAATTAATTGAGTCGTCCATTCTGCTTGAATGGCCAGGATTCATGAAAATGCAAACAGATACAACCTTTCGAAAAGAGCCTGTACTTCACATCAAAATGGCGACATAAAAGCAGGATTACTCCGTGCTTTGGGGTCAGACGTTGCTTCTAACACTTGGCTGATTCCCACAACAGGAAGTCCCCATTTTGACACAATGACACTCATGCTGACTCACAAGGTGAAAACAATTCCAGCCTCTCGCTGTCACCGCTGGTAACAAACCAGCTCAGTGACATTAGAGGACATGAGGAAGGAAATAGATTTAAAAAAAAAACTGAGTGTCTTCCCTGAGAAGCGATTACAGATTAGTCGTGATGAGAACATAAGTAGAAAATTGTAACCTCTGCCATGACTTGAAAGTCTCCCATCAGCAAAATCCAATGATGAAGAAAAAGACAAAGTGTGATCATTTTCCCGGAAGAACACACACTCCCTTCCAAAATGATTGCAACGGTGAGACCAATTTATTTCTTTTTGAATGATTATGTGGCAAGGTTTTAGACAGGCCAAGTCCATTCCTGGACTTAATGCCGATGGAGCATGCAGTTTATCTGCTCCTGAGGAGACCGAAAGGAGTAACCTCCCAACCTCCGCTGGCAAAGCATCCCAAGAGAAAAATACAAATGTTTGGTCATCTCATTTGGCCCAGTAAGATTAATACAATTATTGCAAGAAAAGGATTTTCAACTAAACCTGACGGCTGTTTCTCAATCAGCGTGCTAGGTAGTTCTTACGCCCTTGTGAGCTCGTGAACCATCACCAGTCACGGCCCAAGAACTATTCCAATTGAAAGAACAAATAAATCAAGAATGCGCCGAATACCCGGATGTTGTTCTTGTCAAATACCTTAATCCAAGGATGCATCAGTTAGTTACTTGTGAAGGCTTGGCTCCAAAAATGTATGCATTTCATGCTGCTACCACAGAAAAACGAGTCAGGGTGGACATTAACAAGAATACAGCCAAGAGACTTGAATTCTTTCGAAGAATGTTCTCTAATGTGCCCTTAGGAAGACCGTACAGTACTTGGCGAGTCCACGAGACTGTATTCTGCATTCTGGTCCAAGTCTTAGTCACTCAATACTCCTGTTCATCTGAACATTTGATGTTTTGTTACAAATAACGCTCCATAACTTGTGTATCATATCCAGAAGTAAATACCTGATTTTAGACAGGCTACTACATTCCCCCAACTTAAACCCGATGGAGCATTCATTTTACATGCCATTGAGGACGCTGAGCAGCACAATCCACCAAATACCGTCCAAAGAAGAAAAATGTGGCAAAATCCCACGAATGAAGAATGCAAATATTTGGTAATAAAGTAACAAAAGATGAGCTGCCAAATGTTTTCAGTTCACAGCAAAACTAAAGGAACTAGCCTCGATGGTTCCAATACCTTTCAGAGTGGAGTGTATACAGAAGATACACACTGGTGGACAGAAAACGCTACAGAAAAACCAATAAATCTAGGCAAATGAACACATAGCGTGTCACGTTGCGCATTGCTTTGTGGCAATTAACACATAACTGATTCAACATCTGACGACTATTTCACCAGTATTTCTTCTTTTATTTCCAGTATCCGGCTAGCGCTAAGAACAACAGTAGACAGAACGAGACCTGATGCATTTCAGGGAGGTGGACAAGACCCCTCTTCATCACAAGATTGGTGTTTTCTCTGTCTTGGAAATGGCCTGCTCTGGTCCAGCAAATTGTTGGGTTTGTAAACAATGTTTCTGGTTTGGTTCATGTACATAGCCTGCTTTAGAAAATCTGTAAAGGGAAGACCACTGTATTTTTCTTTACCTAGTGTCCATGTCAAGGGATAAAGAGACACGCTCACAGTCAGCTTTAATGACATGCTAGCTTTATAACTAATGGTATGATGCCGCAACCAATCCTTCACATTCCAAGCATGGACATTTAATGTATTACACGTGGGATTAAAGTCAGCCACGGGATGATTAATCCGCCATCTCCAGTCATGATTGATCTACCTCATCGTGACAGACCGCCATCAGCGGTGGTTTTTCCTTACCCCTTTAACGACACACTGTTGATTTTAGCATCTGCCTTTCATTCGTACAATGACCATGTTGTCCATGACACGGACACAGAAGGTGATGCTATAATGACTGAATCTCCTGAAATGCATCACACCGATTAAATATCAGGCAGATCTAATGAAGATCCATTCAGGGGCCCATCACGGAGCCATAAAGTCGTAAAAAAGGCAATGAAAAATTCAT